TCTGCAATGAAACTATAACATCATGTAGCCAATCAGATCTGGCTGCGCAAATTCAGAGAGCAATGCTTTCTGCCCTCAACAACCCTTTGAGACAGGTTAGTCTAAATGATGATGAGGATGCATGGGCACCCAGTGGTTTTCACATGCTTGAAAGACTACTCAGCACCTTGTCAAAATATGCATTGATGCCATGTTAAATGGGATAGAAAGGAAGGCACACCAATTCCGGATCCCAAAGATGTCAGCTTGATCTTTATACAACATTATGGTGTGATTTCATTTGGCCCTGTTATCACTGATAAGAAGAAGGGATAAGGAAGAGAAAGAAAGAAACCATTAGCTGCATTTCATATGATAAGAGGCTGTTCATCACATGCCACGCTAATATTTCAGTTCCTTTAAAAAAAAAAAAAAGTTGCCTAAAATAGAGCCATATGAGAAAAGACGTTCCATATGTCCCAAGAGGTCACATGAAAATCTTATGAAGTCAACGGAAGACATCATTTAACAATCAAATTCTCTTTAACTTCAAACTGAGGTTAAGAGTGAGAACCAGCTTGGGTGATTGAAATTTGTTTTCCCCTTACCCTGCCGTTGCTTATTCCCATCTGATTTTATTTAGTTTCCACTACAAATATTGGCTCCCTTTGAACTATTGTTTCCCACCCCGCCCTCTCCCAAATGTATGGAAAGCCATAGGAAGACGTGCGTGGAAAAAAACGCAGGCACAGAACACGGCGCCTTCATTTCATCCTCCGTAGCCCAAGCTACAAAGTGGTTATTTAAGAAGTCAGAATTCAGTGTTACAAAAGGCCTCAGATTGTGATGCAAAAATCAGAAGTGGGTGAGAAATCTTCAATGGGAAGCTAGCGTTTACCAGGAAAGGGGTGGGTGGGGAGTGCAGAGGCTCCCTTCTGCGAAATTACATCAAGTGATTTTTTTTTGCAAGTAGTTACGCAAAGAGAATTGAAACCAGGGCTATGTGGCAAAAACTGGGAAGGCAATGAGGGGAAGCTCTGCTTATTGTTAGGGGGTAATGGACTGGTATTATTTATTTATTTTTGCTCCTGTGGGGGGGCATGATAAGGATGATGTGCCCCCAACTTTCTTCATCTTCAATAGAAACATATGGGATTTGGTGTTGGTGTGATATTACTATCTTGGGAATCATAGCAATGGAATGGGCAAATTTCTGGGCTGCAGCTCAGTACGCACTCAAAACATATGTGATTGGGAAGGAAACACTGGAGCAGTTACTCAAAGGTGGAAGACTGTGGCATCCTCTATCCACTCTCTCCATGCCATTCATTATTTTGTTAACTTCTATCATGTCACCTTTTACAGTGGTACCTCGGTTTAAGTACTTAATTCGTTCTGGAGGTCTGTTCCTAACCTGAAACTGTTCTTAGCCTGAAGCACCACTTTAGCTAATGGGGCCTCCCGCTGCTGCCATGCTGCTGGAGCACGATTTCTGTTCTCATCCTGAAGCAAAGTTCTTAACCCAAGGTACTATTTCTGGGTTAGCGGAGTCTGTAACCTGAAGCGTATGTAACCTGAAGCGTATGTAACCCGAGGTACCACTGTACTCACCTTTTCTCCAAACTAGGAATTCCTGAAAGCCACAACCTTTCCTCACAGAAGAGTCTCTCCAGCCCTTTGATCATTTTGGTTGTTTGGTAAAAGAGAGAGTTAAATGAGAAATTAAACCCAAGATGGACAATAGATCCTGATCCCATATAGGCTCAACCTTGGCAGAAGTCCAGTTGCTGCTGAGTAGACCAATGACAATATGGGGAATGCACTCTCCAAGGATGGACAACTTAATAGGAATGCACTGGAGACAAAGGTGTTGCAGCCCACATTGCAGAAATACAGTAAGTGATGGAGATTACCTCTGGGTGATAATATTATATTCTGGGTTCCTGTTATCCAGTGTCTTTGTTGTGCCCAACAGCAGAATTTGGTTATTATTTAAAAGAGTTATGTCTCATCCTTCCTTTGTAGTGAGGGGCAGCTATAAAATAGGTTCTTAAAAAAGCAATCAGTGAAGCAGAATCCATAAAAAAGGCAAATAACGGCACCCAAAAACACCTACAGAGAGCAGAAGACTATTACTCAGGTAATAGTTGGAAGTTCTTTGCAGAACCAGTAAGATGAGGTAAGGAAACCTTCTGGACGGACAGATTGGTCTCACTGAATTTCTGAGCAAGCTTGTCTCTGGTTTCTCTGCCATCACAAAAACAGTTACCGGTAAATATTTCATTCTGAAAAGAAAATTGAACAGAAGTTAACACTGTTTTGATAACTAAATATATATGGCATTACAGTCACACCACAGTTCCCAAATGCCTCTGTTTTGGAACGTTTCAGCTCCTGAATACCGAAAACCTGGAAGTCAGTGTTCTGGTTTTCAAACATTTTTTGGAAGCCAAACATATGACGTGGTTTCCGTTTGAGTGCAGGATGCTCCTGCAACCAAAGCCACAGCAGCTCTCTAGCTTTTCAGGCAGAAGCCCTTTTCAACCTTACATGGAGATGACAGAGTTTGAATCTGGGACCAAAGCAGGTGCTCGACTGCTGAGCAACATCCCTTCCCAAAGTGCTTTTTATGTCATTTTGAATAACTCCTTAGCAGATCAGTTTGGGGGTTTCATTTGCCGCAGCCTACATGTTTATAAAACACTACGAGTGAACTCTCTTGGGCTATGTCCTACACACTGTGCCTTCTGTTTCTTGTGCAAACTGAGGGGAGTGTTGCTGCCATTCAAGTCCGGGGCCGTCAGAGCAGGCCAGAAAAGCATTACAGTTTTACATATGGACCTTGTATGCTGATGCAACCTTTACTAATTGGATTTGGCAAGTGGGAACTTAATGTTATTGCCTTAAGATGAGTCAGCAAGATTTTTGACACATATCCATCTAAGATAAAGTCCAAAGGAGGAGGGGGAAACCTAGATATTGTCCATATTATAGACATATATTATATGGCAGAGAAGTGTGGAATACCTTTGTTGAGGGATCCCTTTTCCAGGATACTTCATTCCACCCCCAGCTTTCTGTTTCTTCCCTCCAACAGTCAGTCAGCCTTTCACATCTACGGAGCATGCTCAGTCCCCACTGAGCTATGCCTGTGCTTTTCCCTTCTCCAGATTATTTTTCTGTTTTTTCTATTTGTTTTGTTTCTTAAAAGTATGCGTATACTGCTATTCATTAGAAAAACATAGTGGTTTACAGAAATAGTACACAAAACCATACAGTAAAAAAACCTTACAAAAAAGTTAAAATCAGAAATCAGCTAATTATTGTGGAATGGTGTACTATATTCATTATTGCCTGCATAGGCCTGACAGAATAGCAAAGTTCCCAGCAGGTCTTTAGCTCTGAGGGCCTTCAGGTGGTTCCCTCACTGCGAGAAGTGAGATTACAGAGAACCAGGCAGAGGGCCTTTTTGGTAGTGGTGCCCGCCCTGTGGAATGCCCTCCCATCAGATGACAAGGAGATAAAGAACTATACAACTTTTAGAAGACATCTGAAGGCAGCCCTGTATAGGGAAGTTTTTAATGTTGCTGCTTTATGTTTTTGTATATGCTGGAAGCCACCGAGAGTGACTGGGCGGGGAAAAAATAATAAAATGATTAATTATTATTATTATGGAATTTTGTGCCAGAAGATGTGGGGATGACCATAAAAAAAAACCCTCAGCAACCTGGGGAGGGTTTTTTTCAGGGGACATTTTCAGTCAGAACTCGCCAGAACTCAGCTCTGGCACCTCTCAGGTGGGAACCATTGCCATTATAAGAGAACAAAGTTGGCACTCATGGGGAGTTCTGGCATCTCTTTTTGTAGAAAAACAAAACTGGGAATAGCCAATTATATTCCTGCAGATGATCTCAGTGACCAAGCTGGGATAGAAGGGTTCAAGTGGTGCCTGAGGTACCCTGGACCTAAGGTGTTCAGAGCATAGAACAGTGGTACCTCGGGTTAAGTACTTAATTTGTTCCGGAGGTCCGTTCTTAACCTGAAACTGTTCTTAACCTGAAGCACCACTTTAACTAATGGGGCCTCCCGCTGCCGTCGTGCCGCCAGAGTACGATTTCTGTTCTCATCCTGAAGCAAAGTTCTTAACCTGAAGCACTATTTCTGGGTTAGCGGAGTCTGTAACCTGAAGCATATGTAACCTGAGATACCACTGTAAATTAATAAATTTTAACTTCTGTAAAACATAGGACTACCCCCAGCCTGCTGATACCAGCCCCTTGGGCAAGGATGATGCCAAACTGTCTATGAAAGGATTCACACTCAGACAATGTTTTGTATCTAAAATGCATAGGGGTTTTTGGGGGGCGGGGCGTGTTGCTGTTGTTGTTTTACTTCTGAAAGGTTACAAGAGTTTGTTGTGCCACTGCACAGTTTGGTTGGGAAGAACTAGTAGCTATTGCTTCCATTTTTAAAGGGACAGGCAAGTTTCAAAGCTTGCAGCATATTAATGAAGAAGCCAGAGCACTGTGATGATCTCCAACTTTAGCAGATGTCCTGGATCAGGATTCTTGAGCATCTTGACTTTTAGGTAAAGGTAAAGGGACCCCTGACCATTAGGTCCAGTCGCAGACAACTCTAGGGTTGCCGGCTTACAGCTTCCAGGTCATGTGGCCAGCATGACTAAGCTGCTTCTGGTGAACCAGAGGAAACGCACGGAAACGCCGTTTACCTTCCTGCCAGAGTGGTACCTATTTATCTACTTGCACTGTGATGTGCTTTCGAACTGCTAGGTTGGCAGGAGCAGGGACCGAGGAATGGGAGCTCACCCCGTCGCCGGGATTCAAACTGCCGACCTTCTGATCAGCAAGCCCTAGCCTCTGTGGTTTAACCCACAGCGCCACTCGCGTCCCATCAATCTTGACTTTTAGGGCTCAAAGAATATTAGCACATAGGCAGCTCACAGTGTCTGCAATGACTTGCAGTGGCTCTCCATAATTTTGGACAGGGATCTTTCCCAGCCCTGGATATGCCTGGGATTGAACCTGGAACCTTCTGCATGCAAAGCAAATGCTCTACCGTCTGAGCTACAGCCCTTCCAAGGAATCCTGTACCAGTGCTTCCATTTATTGCAACACCTATGAGGATTCTTCCCACGACAGAGGTCCACGCTGCTAAGAGGGAATAGCAAGGGACTATTCAGGGCTGCAAAAGTGATATGGCTGGCTTCCCACATCCATCAAGGGAGTCTGGTGGTTGTTTTCTGTCCACAACACTTCCTATGTTTCATGTTGTGTGCCACAGCACCACAAATGACTAGCATTTTGGTCATGGTTACTCTCATTCTACTCATCTGTATGGGTCTGAATGTAGGAATCTTACAGTGGAAACTCATCAGAGGGACGGCTTTCTTTCCTTTTTATTGTTTTGAAAACTGAAATGGAAGGACTGTTTCGTGCAAAAGAGAGCATGTTCTACCAGGGCTTTCAGTTTGAATTATGCACTTCAAAAGGGACTTTGACCTCCCATTGAAAAGAACCCTGAATTTATATACTTGGCTTGGCTAACTTTGGCCTTTCCTTTTGAATCCGGATACGAGCAGTCTAGTGTGGTGGAAGACTTTTGTTCCTGTCTCAGATTTTAACCTCTGTAGATATATATATTCAGGAATGCGTTCAGAGGGGAAAGTATATGTAATGTGTTCAGTTGGGTACCTTCCATCACTTTAAAGTCATTAGTGACCCCTCTGTGCGATCTACTCCCTCTTTCTCCGTGCAGCTTTCTAGCTTCAAGGAATGTGGGCCACGTTGACAAAAGCAGGATGCTGAAGAAGTCATATGGTTTTCGGTCAAATGAGATAATTAAAACCCGGACTTTCCCCCCCCCCCTTTAATACAGCTAATTTAGGCATTGCAGGACTGATCTTTGAAATACAAGGATCTCAGTTTTCTAGCTGAGCTCTAGTCCAGACTCAGAAGCAAGTAGCTTCATGATGGTTGAATATCTCTTAAAACATGTATGTATGTGTGTATGTGAACAAATGATATTCATGCCAGAGGTCACCAACCTTATTGTGCACATTTACCAACTGGAAAACACAACACCCTCTGCACACCGCAAGCACACACCACAACCTAATCCATTGGCTACAACAGAATGCTTTCTTTCTTCCTTTCTTTCCCATAAGATTTTATTACTGGTAAAACTTTTTTATATAATACAATAAGATAAAAGAAACTAATCTAAAGCTTAATTTAGAGAGGAGACACTGAGGGCACCAGGGAAATAATATTATACACATAGGGTGAGGGGGGGAGGAGGAGGAGGAGGAGGAGAGAGAGAGAGAGAGAGAGAGAGCACCCTTGTCAGAAAGCACATCTTTGTCGTGTGCAACATTTCCAAACAGCATCATTTATCACTTTCTCGCTGCATTTGTTTTCTCATTTGAAACTGAAATGAGGACACAGCATCTCTGCAAGCCGAGCAGCTCATTCTCTGCCAGCTTTCGCCTCCACATCTGTTGCCTCTGCTTAATCCCCTAAATTATTAGCTGAAGTTCAACAGCATCCATAAGTTTTCCCAATTAATCCATCAGTTAGCAATTCCTAATGGGTGATCCCATTGCGTGATCCCTGATCCTCTGAGGATGGAGGGGGAAAAACAAGTCCTTTAGAACGAAGGGGAGTGGTGATTTATATTTATTTCTAATACTCCATTAACCCTCTTTGGCTGTGAATGCTGATCATCTTGTATTACATCAGGGAACATTTTGCTGTTATACACAAACAAGTTTTCTAAAATAAAATTAAAAACCCGGAAAGGCAGAGATGGGCTTTCATGTTTCTGTCAAGTACTCCAAGTTCACAATTAATACTCTATCCTTCCCTTCGCCATTACCTATTTAGCATGGAATAATGTCCATTACATCCTTGAATCCTCATGCGGCTCTTGATTGCCTTGTAGAAGAACATGATCAAAAGGCTCCTCTCCAAGGCACATGATTGGGCTGCCTGGTCTCCTCAATGGCAATTTATTTAAATATGATACTCTGCAGGGGAAGCCCATTCAAAGTGGAGGCACACCAAGCCGTTTATCATTTCCATGCGAGGTATTTAAGATTGTGCCATCTTGAAAGCTTTACAAAAGGGGAGGGTGGAGAGAGGGGGAGAATTAAAAGCAAAGAGAGGAGGGGGTTAAAAAAAGTGATGTAATCTCCAAAGGCTGTTATCTATAAGATGCAGCAGTTAAAACCCAGACGTCTGACAGCAAGTGCATCTGTAACGCAGATCAGCTTCCAACCTGGAAAAAGGGGTGCCAGAGTGTTCCTTTATTATAGCCCATATTGGAGCATGCTGCCCCAATGGACCAATGTTATCCAGGGGAGGGGAGTGTGAAGATTGGCTTTGTAGAGGATCAAAATCAAAACGTAGCCTTAGACATGGGCATAGCCATGATTTTTGCTGGGGGTACAGGCTTTTTTTTTTTTTTTTAGGAAGGAAGGCTGTTGTTAGGGGGCAAAACCTCAGATTTGTATTGATTTTGCTTGATTTAGAGGGGAGCAGCTGCCCCCTGCCCCCCCCCGGCTACACCCATGGCCTTAGACATATTGACTTCAAGGCACACAGAGAGTGAGGTGTGCTGAAATTCCATTGTAATCAGTAAGTCTGGAGCGCACTTTCAATGTACAAGTGCCATTCATTTCAAAGGTATGGAGACGCTGTTTATTTTTTTCATTGCATGTATATCCCAGCTTTCCTCCAGTGAGCTCAGTGTGGCATACATTGTTCTCTTCCTCCCCATTTTACCTCACAACAACCCTGTGAGGTAGGTTAGGCTGAGAGACTGTGACCGGCCCAAGGTCACTGTGGCGTTTGCCCTCCTAGGTGGGTCATAAGGAAAGGGTTAAATGTGTGTGAAGTGATTGGCCAGTGGGAACTCAAGGGGAGGAGTTAGAGTTAGAGTTGAAGTTGTTGGGAAGTCAGTTGGGAGTTGGAGAAGGGAGAGTGAGGATAAGTCTGTGGGTTGGGATAGTTTGATGTGAGAGAGTGAGAGAATCTGTTAATAGGAGTCAGATAGACAGTTGGGATAATCAGTTAGAAGTTATTATAAAGGTATAGGCTGCTAAAGAAACTAAGATTAAGAAACTGACAAGAAAAATTATCTGAAACCATAAACTTGTTAAGGCTTATAAAATAAACTTGTTTATTTGGTTTAATGTTAACAACTGTCTGGACTCCGTGTGTACCCAAGAGAAATAGGTTGGTGGCAGCAGGGAAGCATTCACAGTGGTGGCACAGGGATCAATAGACCGTCAAACGTCCGGGGACCCTGTGTGATCGCCACAGTCACCCAGTGAGTTTCATGGCTAGGCAGGGATTTGAACCATGGTCTCTGGTTGTCCTAGTCCAACATTCTAACCTCTACATGTCATACTAGCCAGCAAAGGACTGCAATCAAACATGGTGAGTTTACACCAATCTGGCTGTAATGTCTGAAGTGCCCACTGCATGGTGCAGCAGATGGGGGTTGACAATCAGAAGTGGGGGATATTAATGGGACATTTAGCTGGGAAAGATTTTGCTTCCCTTATAAGTGCTTGTTATGGCATGAAAAGAAGGTGTCTGTGAATCAACCCTTTGCATTTTTTCTCTGGGGGTGGGAGGAGACCAGAAATTAGCTTTGGGGCCAATATCCATGTGACTCGTCCTGAGAAGAAGCTCAGGACATGTATCCCAAAATACCTTTCATCTTCAAGCCTGAGAAGTCCAACCAAACTATTCCAAGGTGAATTTTGGATGGAGTGTCAGCCCTGAATTTTAGCTTTAACTCTCCATTCCTGGCTCTTTGAGGGTTTTAGGCAGACCCTTCACGTTACTTTAATGTCTTTTTTGTGGTTTAATATTTCCAAGGGCAGTAAATTATTTCCAGCATTTTTTTAAAAGACAAATTTCTCCTGTGGTTAGTGACCACAAAACAAAACAAGAAACAGAAATACACGAGAGAACCTTTCACAAGAAAAGGTTACAAGGCTTCAGACCTCAGCTTTGATGTATCGAGGAAGGGAAGGGAAGTTCAGCTCGAACCTGATGACTAATTCCTTTCTTAAGCAAAGTAGCAAATAAACAGGACCATATCCATCATCTTTTGCAAACACTAGCACAACTAATCAAACCAAATGCTTTCCTCCCACCACAATAAAAATGAACTGCTGAAGCACAAATCTATCTGGATTAATGAGCCTAAGAACTATTACTGTCAAAATATGAGGACCAAGATAAGGACAAGCAGATCTCCTCAGCTTCCTACTTCAACACACAAGCACCAAAAATCTGACGAAATGCTACACTTCTCTATGGCACTTGTCACTTGATGGACAGCTGTAGTGCTTGTGGGGTGGCTTATGTTCTTCACCCCCACCACTCTCTGACCCGCAAGTGTCACCAACATAGCTTATGGTGGATACTATTCACAGTGATCCCATCAACAGTCGCTAAAATCCATCTGCGGAAGAATGCTGAGAGAGGAGTAGATTCCTGAAATATTCTCCTGTGATGAGGAGGTTTCGGACAGGTGTTATAACACTAGAACATACTGTGGGCCGTCAAGAGTCAACTATGGCTTCCCACAGAGCTAGCCCATAACCAGTAATGTTATGATGAGGGGGACCTGCTGGGGCTGGAGAGTCATTTTAGAAGGGTCAGGACATAAAAAAAGAGTGTACCAGGGAGGTGCAGGTTGAATCCCTCTGTGATTTCTAGTAAAATGTTTTCACCCTATGAAAATGGAAAGGTGGCTTTCCTGAGAGGGGCTTGCTGCTTGCTGGGTCCTGCCATGTTACGCTCATCCATAAAGTGATATAACTTCGCTACCAGCTGAAGTTGGTAGAAGGCACTCAATGCCACAGAGGCCACTTGGGCTTCCAGTGACAGTAGTAGATCCAGGTGTATCCCCTGGTATAATCTATCATTTATCTAGGCCAAGGAACCAACCACACACAGCATGTCTTGTCTAGATTGAGCTTCAGTTTGTTAGCCCTCATCCAGTCCATTGCCACAGTTCAGGTGCCAATGATAAGGAGATAACAAATCACTTTG